TATGTAATTTTTGACCAAATTTAAAATTTACATCATTTTTTTAGCTTAAATATTTTATAAATCTAAATTAAATATTTTAACTTTTATCTTATTTTTGTTAAGTTTATTTAAAAGATTTGAAAACTATAAAAAAAATAGAGTCAGACTTTAAGGTATGTTTTTTTAAAAAAAATAATTTTTTTTTAAAAATGAAATGCTACAATATATAAATATATATATATATATATGGTTTTTTAAAATTAAATTTAATAATAAGTTAGTATTTCTTTATTATAATTTTAGAGTGACTATTCATTTATTCTTGTAATTTTATTAGCTAATATTTTTATATATATTTAATTTTTATTTTTAAAAAAAATAACCTACCACTAAACCTAAACTATCCCATTTTCTCCCATTGACAAATAACATGCTCTTTTAGTATCCATGGTCCACCAAATTCGCTTCACTTGAGAATTTCTTCAGAGTCATAACTAAAAACTATAAACAGTGAGAACATATATACACAAATAAATATCAAATTCATATTTTTTTTCATGCCTAAAATATAAATAAAGAGTATAAATTTTGTATCACTGTTATATATGTATGTATGTATAGGGAACGTTCGCATATAGTCACTTAAAAATAACCTAATTACTCTCTGTAACTATAGTTTAATAATTACAATTCGTAGCTACATGTTATATGGAGAGGCGAGCGAGACTGGATTGTATATTATTCATATGTATATTTATATATGACAAGCGAGATTGGGAGAGGAAGGAGAGAGATGAGCGAGATTGAGAGAGGAGGAGAGAGGCGAACGAGAGATGGCAGATACTGGGAGAGTGGTGAATTGTATATGTATATAATTGTATATTATACATATGCATTTGTATATATGGCAAGGGAGATTGAGAGAACAAGGAGAGAGGCGAGCGAGATTGAGAGAGGGAGGAAACATGCGAGCGAGAGAGGACAGAGAATGGATAGTATCTCTAGATTCTACCATTTACATTAGGGCACTTCTATGTTTTTTATGGGTGCACTGTTAAATATATCCTAACTAGTTAACATATCCGCGCTTCGCGCGAACATTATTAGATTTATGAATAAATTTTTTGTTTAAAATCTATTTGGTATATTGTCTTTAGAAACAGGTAAAG